TATAACATATATAATCATAGATTATTTTCTAATATTTGTATATCTAATTTTATGCAAACGATATTACATTCAAGAAGTTTCAAACCTGTCCCACCACAAACTTAACAATATAGTAAAAATAGGGCTGGAGAGATTTTTAAGAGCACTTACTGCTCTTGCAGAAGACCCAGGTTCAATTCCCTGCATCCACATGGTAGCTAACAACTACCTAAAACTCCAGTTCCGGGGTATCTGACACCCTCTTCTGTCCTCCATAGGCACTGCGTGGCACAGGTGCACTTACACACATGCAGGCATAACACTCATAAAATAAAAATAAATCAGAAAAAAATAATATAGTAAAAAGTAGTTTGGGGGAGTTTCAAGTAGGTACTTCTAATATTAATGACTGAATACGCTTGGACATTATATGTACTGTATTGTAGATCTTTTTAAAGTATTTGGTTACAATTTTTAAATTATTTTGTGTATGTGTGGGCACATATGATGTGTGCATGAGTGCAGGCACATGTCTGCCCTGGTACATGTGGAGGTCAGAGGACAACTTTTGGGGGTTGGTTTTCTCCTTCCACTATGGGTTCTGGGGATCACGATCAGGCTTGCAGGGCAATGCCTTTACCTGCTGAGCCATCTTGCCAGTCTGTCTTCCTGTAATTGTAATTGTACTGTAAATGTAATGCTTGTACTTTAGATCACCCTGAACTTTACTTTGGTATTGGATGTCACCTATTTTTCTGTTATTCTTTCTGGTTGCAGCTCAGACTGTCCTGGACTCATGATCCTAGTGCTGCTGCCTCCCAGGTGCTGGGCTTACAGACCCACACAACCCTGCCCTGGCCTGCAAGCACCATTCTTTTCATTGCAAGTGCTTTTATCTGCCTGGTGCCAGCCACGGCTCAGCTTAGTTGTTCATTGATTTCTGTCTCATTTAAAATTGGCTCAAAACAAAATAAATAATATCAAGTTTAGACCTTTTAGAAAGGAAAGGAAAATGATGAAAAGTGAATGGCTTTGTAAGGAGAATGATCTCTAATTTTGTAAAGTGTTAAGTAGATGTGGGGTCTTGCTGAACTCCTATGAATTAATTAACAGAATATACAGAAATAACAGAAATGCATTACTTCAAACATTTAGTTTTGGCTGCTGTGTTAGCTGACTGAAAAGTAAGAGCCGTTCTTATTTACTGATGTTTCCTGTTCTTTTTTTTTTTTTTTTTTTTTTTTTTTTTTTTCTCCTTGTAGCCCCAGCTGTCCTGGAACTCACTATGTAGACCAGGCTGGCCTTGAACTCACAAAGATCCGCCTGCCCCTGCCCCTCCCCAAGTGCTGGGACTAAAGGCAGGTGTGCATCACCACGCCCGGCTTCCTGTTCTATTTTTAAAACCAGGTTCACTAAGGTTTATACATTATATACCATCAAATGTACTCATTTTAAGTATACAACCCATTGATTTGTTTCTTTTGTTTTGGGTTTTGGGGTTTTTTTCCAATGTATATTTTTATTGAACTTTTGTGTGTGTGTGCTCGCGCATGTGTGTACGTATGCACACACGCACGCCACAGCACACTCGTGAATGCCAGAGAACTACTTTCACAAATTGGTTCCCTCCTACCATGTAAGAAGGAGAACTGGTCATCAGTGTTAGCAGCAAGTGCCCTTGCCCACTGAGCCATCTCACTGACCCAAGAACTTTTTTCTAAATTAAAAAAAAAAAAAGTACCTGGAGAGATGGCTCAGCTGTTAAGAACACTGACTGCTCTTGAGAGGATTCTGTTTCTATTCCTAGGACATAGGATGACGTGGATGCACTTATACCCATGCATTTATGAAATAAACATAGTAACAGTTTTATAAAATGTATAGACAAATTATATAAGCCATGCAATAATATATTTGTCATAATATACTTTAAAAATCACATACATAGACAGCATTCTCAAATGTGAAAGACCTCCTTTTCTCGGCCCATCTACCTAGAGATAACATCTTCCTCTTCTTCCTTGACATTACATACACACCTTTAGGGGCTATTACTTTGGGTACTAGAGGAATAAATGAAACCTTTTATAACTCTAGCCAGGTCACTTGCTTAACATGGAAACACAATGCATAATTTCAGTGTTGCATGTACAATGCTTGGGTTGTTTATGTGAAGGATGTAGAGGAAATAGGAGCAGATTTTTCAAGACTGAGTAGAAATTCAGCAGGAATAGGATGCTTTGGTGTTTTCAGAGGCCCATACTGATCACAGAAGTGCCACTGCGGGCATAAAAGTCATGTGAAGAGTTATCTCTGTCCTGTAGACAAATGGGCAATTAACCAGGCTAGTGTTGTGTTCATAATTCAGCCTCCAGTACAGCAAACATGAGCCTAAGTTTTCTATTATTAGAACAGTAAGTAACCAATTTTATCATTCTACCTGATTAATTAAAATGTTTTTCAACAGAATGAACTAAAATTGTCAGTGGTTTCTTTGAAAGAAGTTCAAGACACTCTGAAAACCAAAATTGTAGATTCTCCAGAGAAGGTAAAGAATTTCAAAGAAAAAATGAAAGATACAGTCCAGAAGCTCAAAAATTCCAGGGTGAGTTTGCTTTTTATTTTAATGCTTTTCTGTTCTTTGAAAATCACATGCTTGATTAATCATATGTTCATTTTCTGCTTTCTGAATTATCTATACTTATTTGATTGATTGATTGATTGATTGATTGATTGATTGATTGATTGATTGATTGATTGATTGAGACAGGGTCTCCCTATGTAGCCCCAGCTGGCCTGAAATTCACTTTATAGACCAGGAGGGCCTGGGTCTTGCAGAGATCTTCCTGCCTCCAGGTGTGTGCCACCATGCCTGGCTGTCTTTAATTTTTTTGATCTTGTCTCAACTTGTGTAGGGTATAGGGGAAAGAAATACAACTTTAAGACATTTGTCTAATTATAGTGCAAAGTTCTGAGCCTTTTCTCTGGAAGATCAAACAGAAATGCTATGCCCTTGTGAGATCTAATTACTTAATTGTGGGAGACAAAGGTGTTAACCGATTTTACAAGGAATTATATAGCTAAAAATTAAAATGTGTGCTATGAAATTGTATAGAGTATACATATGTAGTAAGCACAGGGCACACATGAGAAATTTTTGTACCTCCTGATCAATTTTGCTACTGTCCTGGATAGCTTTAGTGTCACCTTGACACACCTGGGTAGAGGGAGCCTCATTTGGTGACTTGCCTCTATTGGACTGGCCTGTGGCCATGTCTGTGGAGCATCTTCTTCATTATTGAGTGATATGGGAGGGCCCAGTCCACTGTGGGTGGTGCCACCCTTGGGTAGGTAGACCTATGTTGTATATGAAAGCAGGTTGAGCAAAGGCCAGAGGAACAAGTCAGTAAGCAGCGTTCCTCCATGGCCTGTGCTCCAGCTCCTGTCTCCAGGTTCCTGCCCTGAGCTCCTACCTTGGGCTCCTGGATGAACTGTGACCCAGGAGATATAAGATAAAATAAACCCTTTCCTCCCCAAGTTGGTAGTGGTCAGAGTGTTTCGTCACAGCAATGGAGAAACTACAACAGCTATGAAGGTAAAACTGCTGTAAAAAGTTAAATCATTTTTAAAAGTAGCAATAAAAAGAACAGCAGCAGTTGCTTTGAAATAACAAAATGAGAATGCAATTTTGGTTTGTAGGAATCAGGCAAGACAGGGAAGAGTAGAAATTTGTGCAACATCTAAGCGTTCAAGGCAGAAGAGTGGCGTGTAAGGCCATGGGCTGCTTTGAGAGCAGAATTGAAGTGAAATGGGACAGAATTCAAAGCAGTTTGGCATGTTTCGCTTTTTTTGGTCTTTTAGAGACAGGGTTTCCCTGTAGCCCCAGCTGACCTGGAACCCGTTATGTCAACCAGGCTGGCCTCGAACTCACAGAGATCCACCTGCCTCTGCCTCCCAAAGGCGTGTGCCACCACACCTGGCAGCATGTTTTACTTTTGAACTTTTGAAGCAAATTTTTAAAACATTATTAAGAAATTCTAGTTTTATTACCCAGGTTATGTTTTATAATAAAAGTTGTCACTGAGAATAGAAAAAAAAGTCGCCAGAATAGAAACAAGAGACCAGAAATAGATTTGGGAATTTATGGAGAATGGATGGCTTATTTAAAAACAGTTTTGAGGGATTGGGATATAGCTCAGTAATAAAGCAGCTGCTTAACATGGCAAGGCCCTGAGTCTGATCCTCAGCCCCCCACACCACTCAAGATAAAGAATAATTCTAGATCAGTAGGCTCTTTTTTCTAGAAGAAAATGGAGACAGGCCATTTATTAAAAGAAATCCTTACGTGAATTAGACATTTTGGAATTTTAACACATTTAGAACAATATTTATATAGTCTTTAACAGTAATAGAACTTCCCCTATTTTCCAGATACAGTTTGGTTTTGTAGCCCAGGCTGACCTGGAACTCAGGATCTTCCTGCCTCAGCCTCCTGAGGGTAGACTAAATGTTTTTAAACTTAACATTGGAAACCTAAAACCTAGGTAGAAAAGACTTACTCAAACGTATTTATGTATATGTGTATATGAAGGCATTAGAGCTATTATATGCAGACTATAAACTAGTAAGAAAGGGCATCAGAAAACTGAGCGATATGTTTAGGTGTTTTCTGAGGAGAAATACAGCTGGTTAATAAGATAAGGCAAGGAGTGGGTTAGTGAGAAGAAAGATGTCTTTGTGTTGTTATGTGGTCATAGGAAATATATGTTCATTTTGTCATTTTGTTGGTGGTGGTAGTGGGTTTTTTATTTTTTTGAGGCAGGGACTCCCAATAGCCCCAGCTGGCCTGTAACTAGCTTTAGAGACCAGGCTGGCCTCTATCTCACAGAGATCCACTTTCCTCTGCCTCCAGAGTACTGGGATTAAAAGGGTGTGCCACCACGCCTGGCTTCATTTCATAATTTTAAAAGAGGAGTTTATCTTTTTAAAGAGTCAGATGTTGATAATAGTTAAAATTTAAACAGAAAGATTATAAATAGATAATGTGATTGCCCTGTGGTAATCACAAATAGTTTGAAAATAAACAGGGTAAACTTTTGGATTGTTTGGAGTTTTTTGTTTTGTTTTTTGTTGTTTTTTTTCCTTTGGTGGTAGGCTTTGAACATGCTAGACAAGCATTTTCTGAGTAAGCCATATCCCAGCCAAAATGAGTTCTGTCTGATGGCATCCTGAATAACTTTTGAAGGTAGCAGTGAATGGTCATTCGGTAAAGCGGTCTCAGCTTCCTTTGTTCGAGACATTTGGCAATTAAAAAGCATGATACATGTGCTTGGACGGGTGTCAGTAGTAGCTTTGTTACCAACCTAGAAACTTAACTGTTCTATGCTCCTAAGTTTTCAGTACTGAATGCAGAAATTATTAAAGTGCAAACAAATTGATGTTGCAGTCATCAAAGAGAATATCAAACTGTGGTCTCTGTTTTTTTTTCAAAGCAAGAAGTGATGGAGAAGTATGAGATCTATAGAGATTCAGTTGACTGCCTGCCTTCCTGCCAGCTGGAGATGCAGTTATATCAGAAAAAAACACAGGACCTTGCAGATGACAGAGAAAAGTTGAGCAGTATCTTAAAAGAGGTTTGTATTGTGTGGTGTTTTAATATCTTTGTTATGTATTTACTTGTTGTTCTTTGGATTTATTTTCACTTTTTGTTACTATTTTCCTAAAGAAAAAGTGGATTATTTTATAGCGTAATAGATGTAGCAGTGTATGCTGGAAAAATATACATTTCATCGTAAATGTAGTAATATCAAGACCTATTTTAATCTTCAGATAAAATGAATTATAAGTCAGCGTAGCACATGGCCATGTATATTTTGGAAAGTAATAATGGATGTGTAAACCTGTTCTAACAGATATGATCTTATGTCATCAGTATGTACAAAGTCTAGTTTGCTTCCCAACACTGTGCCTATGGTATATAGAAATGTAAAGTTTATCACAGTCTCTACCCTGCACAGTGAGAGCTAGCTTTGTCTTTTGGGTTTCCTTGGGCTAGATGCTTAAAAAATCCTTTTTCCACATCTTAAGCAGACCACTCCAGGTCACTAACATTACATTCTTCACTAAAAGTTCTTTTGCGGGAAGTTACGAGGCTGGAAGGTGAGATTGCCTGTGGTTTTTCCTACTACGTACCCTTAGTTGCCATCTGGAGGCAGGAGACAGATCTGCTTTGTTTCTGAGGTCTGCCTTTTCCTCGTCCTTCCTGTTACTTCAGTTCAGACGCTGCCCTCGGCTCTAGCCTTTTGCTTGTTGCTTGCCTGTCCCTCTCCTACGGTACTGGCTGGTAGACTGACTTGAGGAAGCGCCCCTTTGGTGGTGAGGTTCCTTCTCCTCCTCCTCACTCTACATTGTTCTGTTGAGCTTTCGGGGACTTTAGAATTGTATTCCATTTCAAGATTTTATTTTTTATAGCTTACCCTAGAAAATACCCTTTCATTTTGCTTATAAATCTTGTTAAGTGTATTGACTTTTAAGTATTCTTATTAAAATAGAGTCTGAACTTGGAGGACCAGATTGAAAGTGATTCATCAGAGCTGAAAAAATTGAAGACTGAAGAAAATTCATTCAAAAGACTGATGATTGTGAAGAAGGAAAAGCTTGCCACAACACAGTTCAAAATAAATAAGAAACATGAGGATGTTAAGCAGTACAAACGAACAGTAATTGAGTACGAACTTAATTTCATTTTTAGTACATTAGGACCTGATTAGGAAAAACCAGTAAGATTCCAAAGCTACTATATTTTCAAATTATAGTGACTAAACAGAAGAGTTATGAAACTTCAAATTCTCTCTGTATTTAGAAATAAGAAACTTCTAGTTGTAGGTTTTTTTGTTTTGTTTCTTTTCTTTTTTTCTGTTTCTTTTTGGGGTGCCACAATTCCAGTTCCTGTATATTATTCCTTAAAGGGGTTCTGGCACTACTGTTTATTTCAGTGCACTTGAGACATAGTTGTCTAGAGTTGCATTAGAGAAAAGAGTGTTACTAGAGTATGTGTCCAGGTTCTGATTCTTTTAGTCCTTAAGCAGGCATTAGGGCCTGTCTGAATCTTTTCTTTGTATGCCCTCATACAGATGAGAAGACAGAACCTGAGGATTTTGTATTTGTTGCTAAACTTGCAGAAGTCTTCTAATCCGATCCCCACTATCAGTGTGTAGGTGTAGGCACTGAGGAACTGTCACTGGAAGCTTTCATTTTAAAGAATAGGTTCTAAGGGCTGGAAGTGTAGCTTAGTAGCAGAGCACTTGTCTGGCATGTGCAGGGCTCTGGCTTTGATCTCCAGCACCACAAATAAGAAAACAAAAAGACTAGCTCTAGAATGGAATCGCTTGCTGTGCACTGTGCTGTAACTGTCTGGTGCACCACACTCTGGTTTTCATCTGTTTGCTTTTGTGTCTTGAGGAATTCTAGGTTGACACGTGATCACTTTGGAAAATTTTTTAGTGTTTAAGAGAAGTTATATCAGCTGTCTATATTTCCTTTCAGAGACTGCAATAAAGTTCAAGAAAAAAGAGGTGCTGTCTGTGAGCAAGTAACCTCAATTAATCAAGAAATCCAAAAAATTAAATTTGGAATCCAGCAACTAAAAGATGCTGCTGAAAGGGAGAAACTGAAGTCTCAGGTGAGTGAGTGTTGTAGAAAATTAATGTCATGGGTTTCAATTATGTTGGCAGGGCGTGGTGGCGCACACCTTTAGTCCCAGCATTCAGGAGGCAGAGGCAGGCAGACCGCTGTGAGTTAGAGGCCAGCCTGATTTACATAGTGAGTTCCAGGTCAGCTGGGGCTATAGGGAGACCCTCTCTCAGACCACAAAAACAAAAAACCCCACCAAATTATGTCACTTTATGATAATTTTTTGAGTTCTCTGGAGTGGAAATTGACTCCATAGGTCCTTAATTTTTATTTCCATTTATAGCATCTGTCCTGTTGTCCTTGAATAATTTGCTTTATGTGTCTTCCAGACCTAAGCATGTGGCCAAGCATCATTCTTTGGCATAGAAGTAGTTTTTCCGTAAAGGTTCTGAAATCCGTAGGTGAATGGACTTGGATCCTCATTTTAATTACTATCTCGAAAAACTTGCTGCTTTTTTTTTATTTCTGATAAGGGTCTCAAACTGTAACTGGGAAGAAGCAAGCTTAGATTTTTCCCTTTGGGTTATGAGGTGCTTGAAACCTTTATCTTGATTATCTAAAATTGTATAAATTACTTTATGTTCAAGATGATTCCACCACGATAGTTAACCAAACTGTCTTACTGGAAGTCCCTGAGCATAGCCATAGCGCTGTATTCAAAGCCCCGGCTCCTTTCTCATCTTCTCTGTCTTGCTGTCCTTGACACCTTAGACTAACTAAGGTTTCTGAAACACTCTAGTATCTGATAACTACTTAAACACATGCTGTCACAATCTTCCACCATCCACACACAGTTGACAAAGATTCCTAATACTAAAAGAAAAATTTTAGGAGATGTTTAGTCATACTTTCTTAAATAAATTAAATTTTTATGTCCTATCACATGGTCTAGGTATAGTTAATGAATTAGGTTATTAACACATTAGTAACTACTAACTCAAATTTGAAATATCTTTGTTAGCCACAAAAGATCCCTAAGCTACTTATATTAGTTTTGTGTGTGTGTCTCACCAGCAGTACTTGAAATTTCTTTACAATACCAATCATGTATTGTTTGTTAAACCTTAGCATGGCATGTGGAACCATGCCTGGAATGGCCTTTAGTGTGGTATGCTTGCCATGAATACTTACAACACTGAAAGTTCATCTAGCACAATGTCTTAAAACTGGGTTTAGAATTCAATGAGGAATTTTGAAATGAGCAAGTCCCTTCCCAAATACACTGAATATTAGAGTCTCAGCAATGAGGCCTGGTTTTTGCAAACCACTTTTCTTTGTCCTGCCCCTTCACTGAACTGTCTGCTTATCTCTAGAATGGGGCGTAGGGACCTTTTGAGAGCCACTGATAGGCTGTATTTAATTGTAGTTGTTTTCAGTGGGATGGAGCTCAGCATGAAGGCTACTCTGCTACAGCTAGACTTGTTGAAATGATATTTCTCATTTTGAACTTGAAATTCACAACGTCTACTCTAGTGGACCCAGATCTTCCCTCTGGAGCAATCTATGGCATCTTGTACTTAGTAACACAGCGGATACTTGAAGATAATGACCACGACTCCTTTCGGTCTTCTCTCATTTGGGTCTATTAGCCTCAGTTGTCCAGCCATCTTTATGTAGCCAAATTTTCAAATGTGTTACTATCCTCTTTATCACCTGTGTTTCCTCCTTCCGAAATTTCTTTACAATGTAGAGCCTCACAGTGCTCTGTTGTTGGCGAAGCCTAATGGGGGCTGGCTTGGAGCAGTAGCCTTCTGTTTGAGTTGAATTTAAGATCAATTAAAAGACCACATCACCTTTCCCACATACAGTTCTGCAAAGTCTTTTTTTGCACCATATTTTAATGAAATTATTACTTTTGGATGAATCTTTTGTTACTTCTTTTAGGCTTAATTAGATTTACTACAAAATACCAAAATCAGTTTAACTCTTGTCACACTAATTGTTTCTCATTGTTTGGTGTCACCTGCAAATTTGACGAGCATGCCTTTTTCTCCAACATTAGAGCTCTGAGTAGAACTGGACTCTTTGCTGCCTTTCTCTCTTCTCCAGAACTGCATAACATTATTGACCAAAACTCTAGTTCATTTCATAATCATCTTCCATGAAAAGGAAAAAGGACGTGAAGATCCAAACTGTTCCCAGGCAGGTCTGCTGTGTCCTGTTCCTGCTGTGCTCTTTCCTCTTTAAATATTCCTTACATGGGTCCTTCTTCCTATTCTGGCTTCTGTTACTACTTTTATTTGGATAGCTTTTAGAGCTGTCTCCTGTTCTGGAAACTCACAACAAAAACAGCATAAATCACCCCATACTCCATCCTCTTCTTGCCATTCTCCTTTCCCTCCTCCAGTTAATCTTTCATTCAACTTTTTCACAAACTTCTTATAACATTTTTTTTTCCCTATTTCTCTATGGCATTGTATGTTGAAAGGAGTTGAAATTTGGACTTGGTGGAGATAATCCCAACCATCGTACTCACGAAGTTTACTTCATGGTTTCGTTTTCCTTATTCATAGCTGGCCCTTTTTATTCACACATTTATCACATAATTTGTAAGTGTCATAAATTGCAGCAAATGCTAATTTGCTTCCTTGATTCTGATTCTGCTGCTTTAAATCCTCACTGAATGCTAAGTAGTACCAAATATATCTTGCTAAAATGTCACTCTTTGGTAGTGTACTTTCTTGTTTAAATCGGGGCCTCCCTATTTTCCTGCAGTTTATAGATTCACTCATAATGAATAAATTGCCAACATTTTTCAGTCACTGTTTTAACAAATGGCTAAGCTACTTTTAACAGATAGCCTAAGTATCTACTAGGGGTCAAGATCCATTTTACTGGGGAGTTAAATTGGAATGAAGGGAGGGAGGGAGGGAGGGAGGAAAGAAGGAGGGAAGGATTGCTGTCTCCGAGACTTTCAGTTTTTAGGTAAACTAATCATTTCCATCACTTAATGTTCATTGGAAATTACACCTGATTTCATAGTATACCACAGAGCCATAGGAACGAAAACAGCGTGGGGCTGTCACAGAAACAGACAGATCAGTAGAACAAAACAGAAGATCCAGACATAAGGCCATGCAGCTGCAGCCAGCTGATTTTTAACAAAGATGCTAAAGTGCCCATTGGAGAAAAGACATCCTCTTTAATAAATGGCACCATAGAAGAGTGAAACTAGATCCCTATCTCTCCCCTTACAGAAAAATGAACTCCAAATGGATCAAATACCTTAACAGGGGACTAAAATCCTGAACCCGCTAGAGGAAAAATAGTAAAACCCTTCAAAATATACATAAGGGGTTTCTGTTTGGATTTGGCATTTAGGTTTGCTTGTGGGGTTTTTTGTTTGTTTGTTTGTTTGTTTGTGACACTGTTTGCCTATAGTCCCAGCTGGCCTGGAACTCAAGGCCTGGCCTTGATCTCACAGACGTCCACCTGCCTATGCCTCTGGGACTAAAAGTTTGTGCCACTACACACAGTCTGATAAGGACTTTCTGATTAGGATTGTAGTTGCTAAATAAAGCCAATCACAAATGTGGCATCATGAAACTAAAAGGCTTCTGTACAGCCAAGGAAACCATTCATTGAATAGAGACTACAGAATGTGAGGAAACTTTTGCCAACTGTACATCTGACAGAAGTTTAATATTAGAAATACAAAGAACTCAGAAATCTAAACAAGAACTAGGCCAAAGAGTTCTCAAAAGAAGAAATACAAATGGCCAATAAATAGTTTTAATGTTCAATATCTTTAGCCATCAGGAAAATGTAAAATAAAACTTTGAAATTCTGTTTCACTCCAGTCAGAATGGCTTTCATTAAAAAAATAAATGAGAGGGGCTGGAGAGATGGCTCAGTGGTTAAGAGCACTGGCTGCTCTTGAAGAGGACCCGGAGTTGATTCACAGGACCTACATGGAGGCTATCAACTGTCTGTAACTCCAGTTCCAGGGGATCTAACACCCGATTCTGGTATCACATATACATGGTGCCCACATGCAGGCAAAACACTCATAAAAATAAAAAATTTTTTAGAAGAACCAAATGCTGGTAAGAGTGAGAGGGAAAGGAACCTTTAAAATGTTCTGTGCATAAGTGTTATTTATACGTGTGCATGCATGTGCACACTAGCTCCATAGCACATGCTTGAGCTCAGAGAATAGTTTTGTGAAGTTGGTTCGCTCCTTCCACTGTTAGTGGGTTCTGGGGATCAAGTTCAGGTCACTAGGCCTGCATGGCAAGCACTTTTACCCTCTGAGCCATCTCACCAGCCTAAAGAACCTTAATTCACTGCTGGTAGGAACCAACTATGGAAACCACTGTGGAAATCTGTGTGCCGGCTTCTCAGAAAGGCTAAACAGGGAGCTCTTTGACCCAGCTGTGCCATTCCTGGGTATACACAAAGAACTCTCTACTGTCTTTCAAAGATGCCTGCTCATCCATGTTCATTGTTCCTCTACTCACAATAGCAAAGAAATAGAATCAGCCTGGATGTCCATCAGTAGAGTAATGAATAATAAAAAATGTACTGTGTATACACAATGGGTTGTTATTTAGCCATAAAGAAAATGAAATTTGCAAGAAAATAGATGTTAGTGGAAAATACTATATTAAGTATGGTGATGCAGGCCTAGAAAGACAAAGACCACATATTGTAAGTTTTATGTTTCTGTCTTTGAGTGAGTGTGTGTAGATGACAGGAACTAGAAAGGGGTACATTTATTGTGAAGTGTTTAGTCTCTTCCAAATACTCTGGATCTTGTGCTTCCAAGAAGCACCATGCGGCTATTTATAAATGAATTTATTACAATGAAAATTATAATAAATAGAATTGTAATTGTAATAGAAGTTAGTTCCTCATCATTCTAGTTGTATTTCTAGCTCCCATTATGCAGTCTGGTCTGGCTATAGATCCCTTCGAGTAGAAAGCATGGTTTCAGTCTCCTTTGTACTGTTGGGTTGTTCCAAGGGTCTTTATGAAGAATACCCAACATATTTGATAAATGGATTAAAATACCTGTGGGATCAGTAGTGATATTGTGTATAAAGATCCATGGATTTTGTACAATTTTAAATTTCTCTGATTTCAAAAATGAGATGAGCAGACGAGCACTGCCCCATCAACACGGCTGCAGCCACATTCTGTGTGGCTCAGTTCTGTAGCCGCTCGGCACTGTGGCAGTTGAGCCAGTGTCTGTGCAACTAAGGGACTGAGTTTCAAATTCAATTTAAATTCTATTAAATTTAAATAGCAATATATGATTAGTGATTAACACATTGAACAGCATGGAGCTAGACATTGATTTTACTCTGTGTGTGTGTGGGGGGGCGGTGTCATACTATATCTCCAGCCCTATGCTTTGATTTTCAAATATTTAACTTCACAGTAAGACTTATTTATGTGTGAATTTTTGTGTACCAGTCTTATAAATTTCTACATGTATGTAGAATTTAATTGAAAATTCTAAAATATGTAGTATTTGAGGAGGCTCTGACCTGTCACCACTGAACATCTCATGAGGGCTGGCTTAGAACTTAAGGTGTTTGTTTGCTTCTGCTGGGCGTACTCCTGGACGTACTCCTGGGCGTATTCCTGGGCATACTGCTGGGTGTACTGCTGGGTGTACTGCTGGGTGTACTGCTGGTACTGCTGGAACTGACTCCCCTGCTCCATCACTGTGGCTCTATGTGACTGACTCCTCCCTGAAAGTTTATTTGTTCTCTCAAGAAAAGTGTTGCTTTGGGTATGTTGAAGTGATCAGCTGCCACTCATATTTACAGACAGTATTTCTTTATTTAGCCTTTCTTCCTTTTGATAGTCTCAAGAATTAGATCTTTCTGCCTAATTTATTCAGCTTTCTTTGTAGTGTGAAGAAATGCATACCCCAGTAGAACTAGGAACTTCAGTTGCTCTACAGCAGCGAATGGCTGATTGTTTAAAATAGCACTTACTTGAGCCAGTAGCTAATTCTCCTTACTTTTCTTAAAAAATTTGAGAAAACTGTGTTTCATTTCTTAATGGTTCATAGGTGTATTAATTTGATACCTGCTTAGATTTTAGAAATCTAAACACTTTGGATTTGTATTAGAATTGAAGAATTGTGTTTGGCTTTCTGGAGGGTGTTTTAGTCGTCAATATATCGATCTCTCTGTGACTATGCTTAATCTGGAAGAGTAGTATGTGTAATTTATTCAAAAATAGCCAATATCTACACTAGAATTAAAATATAGATAAATGCCAGCTAAACTAGGATTTAGGAGAATTTAGTGGGAGAGAGGGTTAAAATCAGGACCAGTGCCCCACCTTCGGGATAGTGCTGCAGTGTTATCTCAGTAGGGAGCACGTCCTGTAATTTTGCAGAACGTCACTGTCTATTCTATGCTGCCTTGAGAATTTTTTAAGGGAAATGAATAATAAAAGAGGATCAAAATTGCATTTGTCTCTTACTTTATTCGATCTATAAAAACTGCTCTGCTCATTTTATTTTAATTCTTAGCACGTCCACTATAGATTTATGTGAAAACTCATTATTGCTTATGGTAGAAATACCTGATCAGCTTACTAAAACGGCTCAAGGTATTGCAATGTTCAGACCTACCTATAGATTGCTTAAGTCTGTGTACATGCCTTAAATGATGAGGGTCAGTTGCAAAGGTTGCAGTGTTCCAAAATGACCTAGGTATGTTTAATATAGAAAGCTCCCGTGTTTAATATAGAAAGCACCATAGTAAAACCTTTCTTCTTAGTAACTGTAAATATTTTTTTGTGGAGGAGAGGGTTGTTTGTTTTTGTTTCTGTCTTTGTTTTGTGTTTTTGTTTTCAGTGATGGGTTGAACCTTGCATTTGAGGTAACTGCTATACTGATGAGTTATGCCCCCAGCCCTAAAATGTTTGTTCTTACTGTGCTAAAATAATGGCCACTGTGACGTGTTCTGATTTGTGCTTTCTAAATAGCAGAGATTTTTTGAGTCAATTTTAATGAGAGTAGGTACACACACCTCATAGCCGTGTATGTACATAACAACTTAGGCTTTAAACATTCACTGACACTGTGAATGAAAGCACTGGAATGCCTCTAATGTGGTTTTAGAATGCACTGTGGCATGGAGTGATTCTTTTTTATTTGTTCCTTAGGAAATATTTGTAAACTTGAAAACTGCTTTGGAGAAATACCACGAAGGCATTGAGAAGGCGGCCGAAGAGTGTTATGCTAGGATAGAGGAGAAGACAGCCGAGCTGAAGCAGAGGATGCTCAGAACGTCATCCTGACGCCCAGCTGCATTTTTCAGGAAGTGACTTTCTGTTCTTCGTTTCCGTTTGGGGGAGTTCTACTGAAGCTAACAGAGGACCAGAAACATCAGATGACATTGCATTCCTTAGGTTTCACACATCTCATTAGTGGTCATTTTTATGATGATGTGCTTTTTGTTTTTTCCTTGTGGTACTAGGGAGAGAACCTAGGGCCTTGTGCATGATAGGCAAGCACCCTACGCTATGCTACAGCCCCAGACCCCAGCATGCCCATTTTTGTACACTTTCCTTGTAATTAAAATAACTTGTACAGCTTTTTATGTCTCTGTCATTTTTATATGTGCTGGTTGGAATAAAACAGATAGTTTCCTTTGAAGTATGTGTTAGTATTTTTCTGTTAGTATTGTAGCTGTTACTTTGTTAATGCAGAATTTAATTTTTTTATTTTTGAGAATTTGATATTTGAGTATTGCCGTTGCATTATTTCCACCCCTCCCAGGCCCCATCCAACTCCTCCCATGCCCCCCACTGCCTCTCAATTTCTTATCAGCCTCTTTATTATTGTTACATATATACATTTATTAATATACATATATGTGTGTGTATATAATACATTGAATCCATTTTGTGTCACTCTTGTGTACCTGTATTTAGGGCTGTCCATCTGAGATTAGATAACCTCTCAGGATCTAGTCCCTGAAGGAAACTGATTCCCCCTCCCCTAATACCCATTGATAGCCTGTAGCTCTTCATCTTGAGATGCAACCCCGTGGAATTTTCTCCCATCCACCTTGGCATGTCCACTGGTTTTGTCATTATGCAAATCTTGTTAGACTACCGTGCTGTGGAGATTTCATGGGTGCAGATCTCCTCTCATGTCTAGAATGTGTTAACTGGCAGCCGGTGTTTTATCCCTTCATCTCCCACAGTGCTCCCTGAGCCTTAGTTGTAGAGGTTGCATTGTAGATGTGTCACTTAGGGCTGGGCACCTCACAGTCACGTACTCTCTGCATTTGACCAGTGGTGAAACTTTGTAATAGTCTCTATCTGTTGCAAAAAGAAGCTTCTTTGATGAGTTGTGAGAGGTGCACTTGTCTGTAAATACAAAGATACGTATTTAAAATACAGTAAGAAGTTACGTTGGTTTAGGCAATTGACAGAAGTGTGTGTTTCTTTGATGTCTGTGACTCTCCAGCCACGTGTACTTGGCTGTGTTTACAGTACCACACACGATTTTTAATACTGCTGTGTAGATAAGTAACTGTGAAACTCTGTGACGGTATACATAGCTGAGCCAAAATTTGAATTGTGCTCTCAGCATGGCACCAAAGTTGGAAGAGTTTCTGCTGTACTATACTCTTAATGTAATTCGAAAGAGTAAGTTGGGTTGTAGGCATTTGTTTCTTCATTGATGTAACTGGAATTTTATGACTTAAAACATGTAGTGATTAGAACAGTGCCTGGTACATAAACACTTGATGCCCATTATCCATTGGGGTTTAGAGTCATAGAAGGTCCAAGCACTTTTCTTTTTGCTAGGGACAACTGGTAGTGGAGGTGGGAACAGGCTGTCAGAGAGACCAGATGCTCTGGGATAGGAGCAGCACAAATGAGGCTCTCAGGTGGAATGGGTAGGGCTGCAGAATTCCCCTTTAAGTCGTCATGGATTTTCATCCACAGAAGGGCCTATCTTTAAAGCGAGGTAATGCAGACCAAATCTCTTGTATTGACAAACAGCAAAACTTAATACCCAGATCTATCTCCACCTTTAGCCACTCCTGTGAAAACTTCTATATTCTGACTCTGTTCTCATGGCCCTGTTACTTCTATCTGTATTGATCCTCTGACTTTCTATGGTTAGCAAACATCCCTAGTTACCAAATTCCTTACATCCTTTTTATCTTCCTTTAAGGCTACCCATCTAGTGTTCTGTTTGCCTCAGAAACACTCCTCATTGTCTTAATTGTCTGTTCCTTTCTTGTTATTGTTTGTTTGGGTTTGGTTTTGTTTTGTTTTCTGAGACAGGGTCTCCCTCTACCACAGGCTGGCCTTGAACCCACAGCAGTCCTGCCTCATCTTAACAAGTGCTGGGATCACAGGCATGAGCCACCATGTCCAACTTCTGGTTCTTATTTAACTTTTCTCTCTGATAGTCTCGTTCTCTGTTCACCCCTTCATTGTCTAAGTTTTTTAGGTTTCTGCCCTTGACCCTCTTCAACATAGCTTCTATATTCCTCCTTGAAAGCTTTTACTGTAAATAATCTGTGCCTTCAGTTGTGAATTGTTTAATAGTATTAGTACATCGATATACATTTTATTATATTTACTGTTTTTCTCTTGTATTTCAGATTCATATCTAATGGCCAGTATGAGAGTCTAATGGATTCTTTGAGAATAAAGTTTTACATAAATAAAATACAAACTCTCAAGGGAAATCAAGTAAATTCAAATCTGATTATTAAGACCATGAATAGTGCCATTTTGCTTTCACCTGAGTTGGAGAGGTCATCCACTATCTTTTTTCAGCCCACCCCCTCCTTTATGTTCATTTAGTAAGAGTCAGATGAATGTAGCATAATTGCCCTCCCATGCGCCCTTTGCTTGTCTTTGAATTTGCATCTTCCTAACTCGTAGTCTCCAACCACCTCTTTCTACTCACTGGACTACAGGAGTTCTAACAGGCAAATTAATGATATCATAATCATCCTTTGGCTCTGGTACATGCTAAAGTTTTGGTCTCCTGCTTGGTGCTATTGGGAGGCGGTAGAACCTTTTAACGAAACTGGGCCAGTGGGAAGACTTTCCAGTCTTGAAAGGGACAGGGAACCCTGCTTGTAGTTACTTTTCTGTTGAAATAACATGACTAAGGTAACTTATGGAAGAAAGAGTTCGTTTTGGTTTGTGGTTCCATGGGGAGAGTCTGTTATGGTGGGGATACGTTGCAGGGAGCAGCAGGCCTGGTGGCAGCATCAGAAAACTGAGAGCTCACATCTTCAATCACAAAAAAGCTGCAGAGAGAGCAAACGAACTGGGTGAGGCTACGGACTCTCAAAGCCCGCCCCCAGTGACACACTTCCTCCACTGAGGCCACACCTCTGAAAGATTCCATAACCTCCGAACTATGGGGGACATCATTGAAATCACCACACCACTCATTCCTTTTTTTTCCCACACCCTGGCCATGAGGAAAAGTTTGCTGCATCAGCTTGCCATGATACACCACCTCACCACAGGCCCAAAGCACAGGACCAGACAATCATGGGCTGAAAACCAAACAGAACCTTTCTTTGTAAATTCATTATCTTAGGAATTTTGCTACAGTAACATAAGCCTGACTGGCAGCATTTTTCGGCTTCTCAAACTGTTTGCCAGAATGTCACATTTAACTCTCCAGAAACTAAGGAATGCTATAAACTTCCAAAGGAAACACAGCGATATTTGCTAGTTGGTATACATCATGCCAATTACTAGTTCAGAGTAGTTCAGACTTTCAGAGTTCGTCTACTCTGTTTCAGTGATTGTTCTGTATGAAGCTGAGTCTTTGGTGCTTGCTGTGATGAAAAGAATCAGCCAGGCATGATGTCACAAGCCTGCCACCCCAGCACTTAGGAAGCTGTGGCTGGAGAATCGCAGGTTTGAGTCAGCATGGACTGTGCAGCAACACCCTGCCTTAAAAAAAAGTACTTAAAATCATAGAATGGGAAAGGAAGGCAGAAATGTTTACTATGATGCTAAACTTTTGAGATAGTGTACTGTGCCAATAGGCACAGATATCCAGTTAATTATTCAAAAGTAAAAGTCTTTCAGTTGATGTTGTTTTTCTTAAACATATTATTAGCACAAATATCTGGTAGCAAACTATGTCGTAAGCAGAACTTAAATTTCACAGCGTGAAAAACTTGTGTTTCAAGACCTTTCCAAGCTAAAGCGTTGCCTTTCCTCTCCGGTCCCTGCTGGGCGCTCCTCGGGCAATGCAGGACCACTTGCTGCATTTCACTCCGCAGCTGTACAATATTCTCTTAGTTTATAACATCTTTTCTTTGTTCAACTGGAAAATATTCATTTTCCAGGCTTAGTCCAACCTCAGCCATAGTACTTTAAATTTTTAAAAGATTTTTTACTGTGTTTTAAAAATATTTTTACTAGTTCTTTGAGAATTTCATCTACTTTATTTTGTATGAATTTTATCTGTAACAGAACTGGCTACTGAATGGTGTTAGCGATGTGACGGATACTGTGTTAATTATTTTCCCAAATTCCCTCAGTTCGTATGTGTTGGAAATGTCTTGCTATTCCGGCTTTCAGTATGTCTGGGCTGCCCCCTCATTCCCCCAGCTCCCTCCAGAGATCCCTCCTTCCCTATCTACCCAATGTTGTGTCCTTGTTTTCCATTTTAAAGCCATTGAGTCCAGTGTGTGCTGCCCATATACTCTTGGTGTTCAGAGGGGCTACAGAACAAAGTGACAAAGGGGGGAAAGGAATAACGGAACAGGAAGGGTTTAAAGGAGTAGGGAAGGGGGCAGCGTGGAGGAGGGAATATGTAGAGGGGAAGGAGAACTAACACTAAAGACCTGCTGAAAAAGTCATGAAAACCTACTTCAGTAGAAGCTTCCTAAAATATACACACGCATGTATAAAATGTTTAAATCGGGTTGCCCTGTTTTTATTATTTTTAATTATCGTATGTGTCTGTGTGTAGGTATGCATACCCAAGTGTAGGAGCCCTCTTAAGGCCAGAGGACCAGATCCCTGCTGCGGTTGCAGGTAGTTGTGAGCCACCCAATGTGGGTGGATGCTGAGAACCGAACTCAGGTCCTATACAAGAGCAGTACATGTTCTTAACTACTGAACTACCTCCCCAGCCCCCAATTTTAAAAAATTACATTTATTTATTTATTTATTTATTTATTTATTTATTTATTTATTTATTTATTTATTTATTTATTTATGTGTGTGGTGTATAAGGCATGCGTGTGCCACAGTGCACATATGGATAATGGAAAAAAGCTTTCAGCAGTCAGTTTTTTTTTTCCACCACGTGGACCAGAGGATCAAACTCAGGTGGTTGGGCTCAATGGCATATGCCTTTTTACCTGTTGAACCATCTCACTGGCCCACTTTTTTTTTTTAACTTTCAGTTTTTTTTCTTTCTAAACTGATTTTCACTATCGTTTTTATTGTTCTATGTAATTCTGAAAATTGTTGACTGTTTTTTTTAACATCATGCTTTGTACCTACCTACCACTCAACTGTTTACCTAAGGAATAATAATTTTTCTTTTCTGTGACTAAACAATGTAGTACAGCCACTGAAACCAGGTTTATCTTAATCATTAAGAAACACTGACCTGGGACTGGAGAGATGGCTCACAGGTTCAGAACGCTGGCTGCTCTTGCAGAAAACCCGGGTTCAAATCCCAGCACCCACATGGTGGCTAATGACTGTCTATAACTCCAGTTCCAGGGGATCTGACACCCTCGTCTGTTCTCTGCAAGCATTGCATGACACGGATGCACTTACACGCATGCACGCAATACACTCATACACATAAAATTAAAATAAATAAATGAAAGAAACACTGTCCTATTTTCTCCTATCAAATATACATTCTGGTTCTTTGATATTTTTAATCATCTATTTTTGCCACCAAACAGCTAAAATTTAATCAAAAGCCCTTAGTACAATCTACACAAACCCATTTCATTCTTTTGATTGAAGAATAAATGATAAAATTTAAAATTTTTCCTAGAGCCTTCATGAAAATGACATTTTAGGCAGGGAACCAGTTTCATAATGCAGGGGCATGAATACTTTGAAGCAGCAAATGACATCAGGTGTTTGTGGCATGTACTGCCACTCTTAAAGGAAAGGCCGTGCAGGCACAGACTCTGGTTCTCCTTTATGAGTTCAGCTACTTAGCTGGATGTAGAGCAAATATTTAATTTCAAGTTCAACTGACATATTTCAAGAAGCTAATCCATTTTATGACAAAGCAAGGGAAATTGAAATACGCACCTCGCAGGCTGAAGTTAATACATCTGATTTTAGTTTAACGGGATGTTTCCTATTTTTAGCAAGAAGCAGAAAAGTTTGATATGAAACTCCATTTCAAATTCAGGGCCTGCCACCTATTTTAATTAAGTCGGCACTCTCTCCATGATTGAAATATGCCTCTCAGCTTCCTATCCGTATTGCCACCAGGGGGCATAACACAACTTGTGTAACCAATGCAAAAATAGCTATGGATTTTAAGGTTGGAAATGTAAAAGCTGAAAATCTTAAAGTGATAGCGACAACTCAAAAAATAAAAGCAGCAGAGAAAACTTAAGACTGTTTAATTGAAACAGATTCTAAATAATAGCTAAATTACTACTTACCTCAAGCTGCTAATTCTGACCAAATGTTTACCTCTAAAATTATCTAAGCTAGTCTCCCACTAACTGACAGGTTTTCTAGCCCAGATTCCACATAACCCTTAATATTGAATTTTTAAGAACTTGAGATTCTGGGCAATGAGCAAGTTTGGGTTTTTTTGTTTTTTATTTTTATTTTTCTTATAAAATCAGGCTTCTACCACTGATTGCTTCTTCAAATCTATCCTCACTGTCATCACAAAAATATCTCTAAATATCTCTAGTTGATCATTTCTACACAACTCGTTCCACAAATCTTTGAGGTCAACCCATTTCAGGATAAGAGCCACCATAATTTAAACAGCAACAGTGTAGTGGAGGCAGTGTAATGTACATAGTATATCTCAAAGTGCAGTGTGTGAAAAATCGGTTTAAGTAGGTGTTAAACATGCCATACCCTTGGGTGTGGGTCTCTGGGGTTCTTTTTCGTATTTATTTTTTTGTGTATGAATGTGTATGTGGGTACATGTGATGTGCTATGAGGGTATGTCCATGTGTGTGAGGCCATGTCTGCACGTGTGAGTGTGGAAAACAGGTCAACCTTAGGTGTCATTCCTCAGGAGCTCTCTACCTTAATTATTGAGATAGAATCTTTCATCTGGCCTGAAGCTTACTAATTAGGCTCAGCTAATTGACCAGCAAGCTCCAGGGATCTGCCTGTCTCTGCCTCCCCAACGCTGCCCCAGTGGTTTTTATTTATGTAATTATTTTTTAATGAGTACGAGTGTTATGCCTGCATGTATATAAGTGTACCCATGTCATTCAGTGCCTACAGAGAACAGATGAGGGCATTAGATCTCTTGGACCTGGAGTTACAGACAGTTATTAGCCAACAAGTGGGTTCTGGAATTCAAACCCGGATCTTCTGCAAAAGCAGTTAGCGCTCTTAAATGCTGAACCACCTACCCAGTGCTGCCCATGCTGGAATCACAGCACATGCTGCTGCTCTGGGATTTTTTATTTTTATTTATTTTTTAACATGGGTGCTGGGGCTCTAAATCTCGGACCTTATGCTTTGCAGGGCCAGCACTGTACTGACGGAGCCATCTCCTCAGCTCCAAGGTGATTTTAATAGGGATTCTTGGAGGTTATTTTAAGAAGAAACTCCTGTATGGCTAAGAGCATAAACCACAGTCTTCACACATCATCTTAGAAAATGGGAATAACAAATATGTCTCCAGCACATAGGGGTTGGGGGGAGTTGGGAAAATAAGAACACAGTGTCTGTCACATAGCTACCATGCAAACATTAGCCAGTTCTGTTATAGATAAACCTAGATTTCTCTGGGAGCCGGTTTCCCCTCAGTATCTACCACACTACCTCTATTAACAAGTCTTTACACATAATCTAAGATGAATAAATGAATGCTTTCTGAATTAAAAGAATCTAGTCTGTGTGACCCAAAATAGCACAGGACCCCAAAGCAAATAATTTTCAGAGAAATATCTGCTTTTTAATAAGTATTTTTAATGCAAAGAACAAAGATGACAGTTTTACCTTATGATGTGTGTGTGGTGGGGCAGGTATACTTCCAAATAGGCTGCAGGATCCACTTGGCTCCACAATGTCACTGCCACCTCTGTCCTGGGTGAACAAACGTGTAAGAATTGCCTAGCCTACAATGGGAATTTTTAAACCTGAATGCAATTAGTGCCCCAAGGTGTGATGTTCAGTAGTTCTCAGGTCAGGTCAGGTCAGGTTCTAGAATTTGTATTGCAATCAAGTTCCCAGGCGAAGTGGATACTGCTGGGTCAAGAGTTGTTTTTAAAATGCCACTAGGTCGGAGAAGTACACTTGGCTGGGGTAGAACTTTCCTCATAGATTCAGAACAGCGCTCTTCAAACTTTGATGTGTTTACAAGTCACATGGTGATCTTGCCAGAATAAAGGATGTGATTGAGTAAGCTGGAGTAGAATATGAGAGCTCTCATTTCTAAAATGTTCCTAGGTGATACAGATGTTGCTAGACCACCACCTCCTACACACACACACTTGTCCACACAACCTCCCTCCATTGGTTCTACTTTTATGTCTCCAAGCTCATTGGCTTGCAAGAACAAGGATGTGTGCAACCTGCCCAGCACAGCACCCAGAATGCAGTCACATACTTAAATGTGTTAGCAATTATTATACTGGTGAAGAGCACGGGATTTTGAGAGGCACACGTCTGCATTCCCATCACTAGCTTTGTGAACTGAGGCCCAAAACAGAATACTATTGAGCCTCAGGTTCCTCTTTCCCTCATAAGGCTGTTGCAGAGATTAAATCAGATGATAAAGTAAACTACCTAGCACTCTGTAAATGGCTGTTATTGCTTGTAAAACCCAAGAAATAGAGGCGACAAAAATGGCTTCAGCAGCTGTTATGTGAGCTTTTACAGCTTGAAAGAAATAGAATCTAGCCAGAAAAAAAAAAAAAATCCACAGGGCACTCATGATTATGACCTACCCGTCAGTCTGCTAATGCTCATTTATTGCTGTCAGGGCTATCACCAGGCAAAGGAGAAAGCACTCCGGAGATCGGAGATGCTCACAGACCTCGGCATTTGTAGGGAAATGTTCCAGGAGCATGATCTTTTCAAAAGTTCTTAGGAAACAGTTGTATTTTATTAAGGAAGGAAAATTCTTCTTTCTGTAATCAGGGAAACTTTATATTCCTGCCCTTTTAAGGCAAAGCCCACAATTTAATTTGTATTTATGGAATTTGGCAAATAATAGAAACAAAATAATATTCAGGCAATATAATAAATGAAGAAACCCTTGACATTCAAAGATGTGTTGGGCGTCTCTCCACACGAGTTCTGTTATTCGTTTTTCTTCGACAGTTGTTTCTAGTTTCCTGTTTTTATTTCAGTCCTGAATGCTTCCTGCTTTACAGAATCCTTTGGTTCAGGACAAACCAGGGTGTTTGATCTTTTTAGACACAGTCTTATATGAGGCTCTGTTGGATAAGCTAGTCCTCTGAGTAACAAGCAGTGGATAGATGCCTTCCTCTCTAGCTTCTCACTGGCTTGCTTCAATCACCTCAAACTAACTGGACTGTAAGACTCTCTGTAGGAGGGGAAGGACAGAGGGAGACAGTCACCCCTCCTACCCAATCAGTCAGCTTTAACAGCATGAGGGGGCGGGACTAAGGATAGGGACAGGGGAAGCTAGAGAGAAGGAAGGGGCTTCACCATTTTGGAATGCAACGCAAGTCGGGAATCTGCTGCCTGAATGTTAAGGGACAAAAGCCCAAGCGTTCCCATACCTTTGTAAGTACCCCCTCACTGCTACCCTCTGCTCTGTTAGCAGGCCCAATAAATGCTGTTGTTCCCTAAACTGTAGTTTAGAGCAATATTATCTCAATTTGTGGTATGGACGTTGCGAGGAGGGGGCCATGCCAGGAGCCTGGAAGCCACGTGCGTGCCTCCCAGCAGCGAATTTAACTTACAAGTTCTTTTTGCCTTGTCTTCATAGAGCCATAGTTGGGCTTCCTTCTATAGGATTTAGGCTCCTTCTTCTCCACCCAGCAACTCAATGGACATTTACTAACAGTCTACTATACACAGATTCAATCCAAATACATTAGAAGTCAAGATCAAAAGACAGTTCCTGGTGCTGGAAAGTTTGGATCCCAGCACCCATGTAACTATCTAAGAGGTTTCATGCATGCCTGTAACCCCAGCACTGAAGGAGACAAAAACAGGAGGATTGCTGGGGCTTTCTGGCTCTAGCTAAGTTAAGAAAAAAGTCACATTTTGGGGAGAGGTTGTTTCAAATGAATAAGGGAGAGAGTAATAGAAGAAGGCTCTTGATGCTCTCTCTGGCCTCTGGGCATGCACAGGCAAATGCACCAACACAGACCTGTCCATACACCAAATATAAATACACACTGCGAATAAAATAGAGATAATTTCTGCTCTCAAAAAGTATGTTAACTTTTAATAGACTCTCTCCACCCAAAAAGTATTAATCTTCATTTCTGCCCAAATCCCTGTATTAGTAATTCATTTTGGTACAACAAATAATTCCAGTTCTTAGCTTAAAATAAAAATATATTTATTATTACACACAGTTCTCAAGGATCAGAGAATCCTAGTGGCTTTCATGGGACAGGATTCAATGTCTGCCAGTACACAAGTCGCTGGAGGTTTGGCAAAGGCTGGGTCTCAGCTTCTAAGCTGACTCAATCAAAAGACTTCTGCCAAGAAGTCTTGGCTCCTGTGACTGTTATCAGGAGACCTCAGTTCCTTATCACACAGGCTTCAGAGGGGAGCTAGACATGGCAACTTCTTCCAGAGAAAATGGCTGTGTGGATAGGAAGAGAGGGAGAGAGAGAGAGAGAGAGAGAGAGAGAGAGAGAGAGAGGGAGAGAGAGAGAGAGAGAGAGAGAGAGAGAGAGAGAAGGAGGATGAGCAGGAGGAGGACAAGGAGAAGAATGAGCAGGGGAGAGCAACTGAGATGGAAGCCCCGTCTTTCGTAACCTCATCTTAGAGGTGATAAGCCATCACTTCCATAATGCTTTGCTGATCACAAACTGACCCTGGTGCAATGTTGGAGGGAACTGGACAAAGGCATAAGTTCTTCATTGGTCCATTTTTTTGTTTGTTTGTTTGGTTGTTGCTGTAACAAAATATTTGACGTTGGGTAAATTGTAAAGAAAAGAGGTTTATTTGGCTGTAGTGCTAGACCTAGAGATTCTAAGAGCATGGAACCAGCATCTGCTTGACTTCTGGAGGGAGGAAGGGAGGGAGGGAGAGAGGGAAGGAGAGTGAGTGAGGTCAGTCAGGTTTGAGTTGTCCCAAATGGACTTTGCTGTGGGTCTATCCACTGGAGCCTGGTTAACCTACCAAGAGTCACACACTGAAAGAAGACTGACTCGTTCCCTCCCAGCAGTCATCATTTGCCAGTAGCTCCTCAGCTAGGGCTAGGGTTTCTTACCCTCCTCCCTACTTACATGCTGGGATTTTGTCTAGCTTGAGCTTAAGTGGTATTTATATATGCTGTCACCATTGTTGTTGAGCTCATATGAGTAACTGACCAGCTGTCTAGAAAATTCTCTTTCCTGTGGTCATCCACCACCTCTGTTTCTTATAATCTTTCCATACCTTCTACCACAATGATACCCGAGCCTTGGGAGTCCTAGGTTTGATAAAGGTCTCCTATTCAGGGATAAACAGTCTGCAGCCTTTTATTCTCTGCACTGTGGATAATTGTGGTTCTGTGTGTTAATTACCAGCTGCTGCATAAGGAAACCTGGTGAGAGTTGAGAGATGCATTAATCTATGGGTATAACAGTAAGTCATTAGGAGTCACTTTAATACTACATTTAGCAGAATAGTGGCAGAAGACTGTCCCCCGTGGCCTGTAATCTGTCTAGCTAGGCCTGTTATCAGTGTCAGATGTGGAGTCTATCTTATGAAGTAGACCTTTAATCCAATTAGAAAGAGATTGGTTACTTCCATAATATTTGTGCCACCATTGCACAGGTGGGCATTTCCTAGCAGGCCAGTTGCTGCAGCTCATGGTGTTCACAGCTGGGTAAGGCTGATGATGAATTGTCTCTTCTGGTAGCACACGTAAGTACCTTCCAGCACTATGAAAGCTGCACAGTAGAGATGAAGCACTGAAGTCAGCACCAGCTTGAATTTTTTTTTTTTTTTTTACAGCTCATGTATGTAGTGTCTTCAGCAATCATGTCTTACTGTCAAGTTCTGGTGGCTAACCAAGAGCAGGGGAATGACCAGTATTGTTTGCAGGCCTATGGGACCTCTGGTTAACATCTTCAAAAGACAGAGTTTATGTCTGGCATTGGGCTTTTACTTTGCTAGTCCTATAGTGTCTAGTGGAGGTAATGTCCCCATTATAAAGTAACTCCTTTTGATCTCTTTTAATAATGTATATGAATATACGCTTAAAAACTTCTATAATGGTTGGTTTTCAAATGTCGTTCTCTGAAGGCCTTTAGTGCTAGTTATTCCTCTTCATACTCCCTCCTCTGCCCTGCCCTCCCATTCCCCACAAATGGCCAAAACACAGAGAACAAGAGTCTTCAGAGTGTGGGTCCTTGGACAGGACTCCTATATTGAATTCCACCCACCCAGAGCTCAGGGACCATTGTGGAAGAGGGGGTGGAAAGATTGTAAGAGCCAGGGAGGAGGTGCATGACCATACAGAAATAGTCCTACAGGCGCCTGGGACCCTTCTTATACAAACCTGCAGCAATGGTTGTCAGCATGTATTTAGGCAGACAAAAACCCAGCACAGAACTGTGGAAATGAACAGCAAGCTGCAATCTTAGTTGAAGAATTACTGGCAGCTGATTGCTTGAGGAAGAGCTGATCTTTTTGAAGGGAGAGATTCTAGATAGGCTGACTAAACCCTGGTGCATGAACTTGCACTGATGAACATCTGGGGACACTAACTTTACATAATAAGCCTTAATACAAATACCAGAATGTGTGAACTCCAATGGGGGTGGGTGGGAGTGTGCCAAAGGGGAAGGGGGTATAAAGATGTTTTTCTGTATGAAATACAGAAAAATTCAATGAAAAATTTAAAGAAAGAAAACATGGAGCCAGCAAGATGGCTCAGTGGGTAAAGACAATTGCTGCTAAGACTGATTACCTGAGTTCAATCCATGAGCCCCACATGGTGGAAAGAGAGAACAGACTCCAGCAAGTTGTCTTTGAATCTCCACACATACAACATGGCCCATATGTACCCACACACATACACACAAACATAAATAATTTTAACAGTAATAAAAAAAAGAATGCATGAGCAATACAATTGTAGTTATAATGATAGCTGCCCATGATTACTATGCTCAGGTACTCATTGTCCTGAAGTTGAGATTTGGCATTTCCATGAAAGCCCTTATGCAGTCACTAACTCTATGAAGTAGTCCTTACTATAAATAGCATGGGGGTCTGTCCCAAAATGTGAACAGTATACTTTACATATTCTGCAACCAGTTCTTTTTGTACAATGGGAGTAGTTTAAGCGAGGGTAAATTTTTCCTTCTGTAACCAAGCCAGTTTCACACCAGGCTTTTTCAAGGCAGAGCCATAATTCCATCCATATTTATGGAACTTGACATGTAATAGAAACAATATTTGTGCAGAAGATTAAACCATGCTATATTCAAGATGTGTTGGACCTCCTTCGTTCCTCCCATTAGTTTTCCCCATTTTTGTAGACAGATTCTTCTAGGTTCCTCACTGTCCCAACTGTATCCCTGAATGTTCCTCCATTTTAGGGAATTCTCCAGTTCAGGGCAAACTAGAGGGGTTGGTCTTCTTTGACATATACCTTACATGAAGCTCACCCCTCCCCCTTCATATACCCATGGTTGGGCTTAGGTTGTGCCCCACATATGAGAGCCAATCAAATAACCTCCAAACGAGTCAGTGTTGCTCATCTGAGCAGGGTCTGTGTTTCCGTGTGTAGCTCTTGTCTTGTTCCCCACTTCATTGCATGGCTATACCACACACTTCTGTTGAAGAATCTTTAGGCTGCTTCCTACCTATTTTATTTGTCTCATTACACATATGTATTGCCTTATGAAAACTTGTCCCATGCATATTTTAAGTACTCATAGCAAAATTTCTCTATGGTATATTCTAGAGTGTCTTCAAAGTGTCATTTTACATTAGCACCAACAGCGTTTATGTAGTCCAGTTATTTGATATCTTTGCCTGCAGTGGGTGGAATCAGAATTCTCAATGATTCCACTGTGATGGATGTGAAGTAACACTGCACTATGGAGTTTAGATATCCCCCCTTTGCTAGTAACAATCACATGTCATGCTAGAGTCTATTCATGCTTCTTCACTGGTGAACTACCTGCTAGGATTTTCCAGCCATTTTTCTACTTTGGCATTTTTTTCCTTATTGTTTTAAAGTATGTGGTTTAAAAAATTCTAGATACTGTCCCTTGTTGGTTGTATGCTTTGAAAACTTTTCCTCTATTTTTGGTCCATCTTTTCCATTTTCTCTCTCATAACCTTTGTAAAAAACTGTTCACTGTAATACTTGTCCCATAGGATTGTAGCTTTTCAATCCACTCTATCTATTAAATGACTAAAAACATATAATCCACTGGGTTGTGGGCTCCTTCAAGACAAACTCATTCATGACTGAGGGCCTTGTATCATCCCCTGTACTTCTTGGGGCCTGAACACCCCTTTTAACTTTTACTTTTCATTTCTGAATCTCTCTCAGGCCCAGTGAAGAGCTGATGCAGAGGCTGATAGGTCCCATAGGCCAAACAGCCCACTACCTGCTTTATAAGGTTCTATTAGAACAGAGTCACACTCACTTGCTTGTTTATAGCTGTGGCTGCTAGCATGCCACGACAGCATGGTACAGTAACTGTTATAGAACCATACGACCCACAAGCCCAGAAGTATTTACTGCTTGGTCTTTTGTAGATGAGGCTAGCAGATGAGGATGGAGCACTGGGGAGCACACTACTGGGGAGCACACCACTCTCACATATTTGTAACAGGAAACATTGACTCAATTTTGTTTCTGCCATTTTCTTAACATTTACAACTCATTGACAACTCCTCCCCAGATCCTATCTATTTAAAAAATGGGTTTATATTTTTAATTATGTGTATGTGTGTGGGGTGTGTGTGTGCAGTTACCTACTGAGACCAGAGGCATCGATCCCTCCACAGCTGGAGTCACAGGTGGTTGTGAATCAACCGACATGGGTGCTGGGAACTGAACTTGCGTCTTTCCCAAGAGCAATATGCTCTTAACCGCTATACCATGTCTCTGTCTCCCCCTAATCTTATCTAAAGAGAAGGCATAAAATATGTAGAATAGTTAAAATAACTTGAATTAATTTAGGTTTTTTGCAGTGTCGTCAGTCCCTAAAGACTGACGTTATTCTGTCTTTTATTCACAAACACAGAAATGGATCTTATTACCAAAAATTGTCTCCAGGATCCTCTACTACTTGTGGACTTGAGGGATGTCTTCGAATTCCTCTGTAACACCTCCCTCCCTCTGCTCACTGGAGGTTGCTCCATAAGTGTTGACTTACGACTGCTGGTACTACAATGCATTATTTACCTGATGGCACTTGGTTGGAAATAACTGGGGCAGACAGAGAAGGACTCGACGGGGGAAGACTGCGGCTTACACAAAGGAAGTAATAAGATGGCCCTAAAAACATTTGCTAATGTATAACTTCTGGGGTTGCTAAAACGGCTTTCAAATTTTGCAGCCTTTGACACTTTTTCAATTTTTCCATGTTTCTCCTGCTGTTCCACTACAGCAGATAAGAAATGCTCCAATCTTGCTGTGTTCTGAAATAATGAGGTTGGAAAGAAAAGATCTTTTTCATCTCCTTAACATTAGGAAGAAGAAAGAAAACATCTAGTCAAAGCCCAGCAGTCCAACAAATATTACTCATGTCTTTGGCAAAAAGAAAAGGAGACTCTTGAATAAAAAAAAAATGGAAAAGAAGAACACAAGTGGCATTGTTTGCATATCAGAAAAATTAATCTACATCGGAAAGTGCGTGAGCCTGCAATTCAGAAAGCAAAGAATTAGGACAGCCCAGCTGAGAATAATTTTCTAGCCAGTTAATTTAATTGCATAAATCATTCCTTTGTTAGCAATAAAGAGATATAATTAAAATGAGATTGCCTCTAGTTTCTATTCTCTAGAAGCTAAAGGAATTGATTTTTGGGCAAAGCATTCTTCCAAATACAAGATCGGCAAATTACATTTACCTTTTTTAGAAAAGCTAAATTATTTTGCCGTAATATCATGGTGAGTTTAATTAATTATAGATCTGCCATATGATCTTAAAGAAATAATTTATTTAATGTCCTTAGAACAGAAGTTTGCAATCATGTGAGCATCCCCTTTGGTAGATGGTATGCAGATTTTCACAAACAGGTCAGAAGTTTAACAGGCAGCTGTCAGGAGGAATTTGAGGCAATGTAAGGACTGTTTGGGGTTTGGGTTAGCTGTCCTTGTTTAAAATGAAAAAATGCCACTATTTAGTATTGCATAATTTAACTGAACTCATTAAATTGGCTTTATTCTAAAATTACTACTAGTAATTATTTGCTGTCCTTGAACCTTTGGGATTTAAAGAGCCTATAATTGTCTATTAAATAGGGAGAAATCAGATCAAAGAGGAATGCAAAAAGTCTCCTGCTATAAAGCACAGGCCTGCAGATCAGTCAATTGAGTGTCAGGGAGAATTGCAAGCTGTGACAGCAAAGAGGCTCATTTTTATGGTAATGAATTTGAATTTCAAAAAATGTACTAAACCACACTTGCTTGCTCCAGATTTTTGAAGTTCACTGGCATTACTTGGCAACAGGGATTTGTACAGTGATGGGAGGGAGCCTACCAGCTCTCAGAGGGCTTGAGCAAACCCTGTCCACAGTGCCTCTGGCTTCAGCTCTCATACAGTGTCTGAACCTTTGAGGGCCCAGTAACCTACCCCAACCCCTGCCATTTCATGGTCGTGATTGTAAAATGCTGAGACCCATTTTTATAGTAGACCAAATGTGTAGTTTGTCTGTTTGTCGATCACTTAGAACAAGAAGTGGGTGCGGCTATTTATCTGTAGTCCCATGATTCATGAGAGGGCAGCTAGAGGAATTAGCCCAGGACTCAGGAGAAATTAGACCTCTGGAGCCTTTTTTGTTGTTCAGCGTAGATCTCTTCCTAAACGGACTGGGCATTGAGGACAGACACTTCCTGCCTCCAAACTTACTCCATAGGAAGGCTGGCTCTGAGGGTCCTTGACTGAAAATGTCAGTGGAATAGTCTAGGCTCTGCTTGGCAGTAGCTGCTGGGTACAGCTAGCCCAGTCCTGATCATATATCCAGGGTCTTGTAGACTGTGTATCCGAGGCTCCCATGTTCACTCTCACAGACTGTCACTTGGCTCTCTGCCTGACTCTGTGACTATCTGGTCCCATGTTAACCATATGGTGTGCTCAGAGTCACCATTAACCCCTTCCCTCTGCTCAATCTTGTGAAACCAAAAAAAAATGACTTGAATATACCACCAGGACAGAAATGACTAGAAGTTCATGTCAACAAATGCTATGACTTATTTGGGAAATCGGGATTGGAAAATTAATGTGAAATAATAAAAATAAACATGGCTTCAACCAGGACTAGTGTTTAGAACAGCACTTATTCCAGAGCCATTTCAACACTGTCACTTGATTCTGCATGATTTCTAATTAACTCCAACATCAGGGAATTTGGATTCTGCATATCTTTATTTTTTCCTCATTTTTGTTAAATTGATATCAATCATAAGAATCACAATGTGCCCCACTCCCACTAATAACATGATTTGACATATGCTTTAGATTTAGTGACTTATCCATGATTGGTACTAATAGTATCACTAATTAAATTAATTTGGAAAAATTCAAGTGCTATCCCCCAAAGCAATGTTCACTCCCATGAACTTCAAAGGCATTGCCTCCTGAGGACATTTAGAAGTATATGTGAATGCTACAAGGTGTAACCATAACACTCAGGATATTCAGGGGCAAGTCCTGAATACATAATCTACTTCTAGAATATCCTAGCATTCATCCCACTCCCACGGAGAACATTGTATTCTATTATATCCTAGATCACAGGGATCTTTCGGACAGACAAGTTCAATGTCACATGTTTTGTCCACTATAAGGGTCCCATTAGAAGATCTAATCTGGACTATGTAGCAGTGAGCTGATATTTAATTATTTTATATTAATAACAGAAAACTTTTGTGATTATAGTATTTGAAAATAGATTAAAATATCCATGAACTTGCTGGGCATTGTGGTGCACACCTTTAGGTGGGTGGATCTTTGTGAGATCTGGTCTACATAGTACATTCTGGGCCAGCTGAGACCTCAAGGAGACTGTCTCAAAAAATCAACCCGCCAGCATTTTATGAATCCTGAAAGGTGTAAGGGCCTTGTTCTTTGAGTACTGGTGTGTGTTAATATAGTTGCTTGACTCTACCAGCCTGTGTGCTAGCATTGTGAATTTGGTTTACCATCGTAGATCATTTCCTTTTCATTGTTCCACACTATTGTCACCACCATCCTTTTTGTGGCTTGGATTTGAACCTTGACCCAAAGGTTCATGTGTTGAGGCTTGGTCCTGAGTAGTTTGATTCAATCATTGAGGGCTCTGAACAAATCAATGAATTTATCACCTGATAGATTTATTATCTGGTGACATTATCAGGAGGTGGTGGGAAGTCGAAGGCAGAGCCTAGTGGAGAAATTAGGTTTTGGGGGGCATGCCCTAGACAAATAAACCTTGTTCCTGCCCCCTTGTGTCATTCTATTTCTGATGACCATGAGATTGCGTTGCTAAACCCTCCCGCCTTCTTGATGTTCTACTTCTCTATAGAAACAAAGCAATAGAGCCACTGACCATGGACTAAAACCTCTGAAACTGTGAGTAAAAATAAATCCTTCCTCCTTTCAAATTATTTCTCCAAAGCATTTGTCGGGGGTCAAAAAAAAAAATCTCATACAACCATTAAGGTCTCCACAGTTTCCTTAAATATATATTCATATATCACAGTATTTTATTACTATTTCTCTATGTGACTCCAACATGCTCTGGAAGCTTCTTGAACCCAGGAATGAAAGCCCATTCACCATTTGATCCTCAGTATCTGGCCACTTGCCACAAAGAGAGTTTTTTGTTGTTGTTGTTGTTGTTGTTACAGTGGAAAACCTCCACATCCCATTTTCCTTGATCTCCTACACATCTTTGGCACCCTACACACAATTCATAGCAAGAGATAGATATGTGTGTAGATTTTGCTCTGCCTAACAGAGGACATTTTCATGCTGAGTATGCAATAACTTTTGCAGGGTGAACGTCATCATGCACTGTGGCAGGAGCTGTTTAGCGGATCTCTAGTATACAGTATTAGGTGTGGGAAACGGTCATACCCCAAGCAGCCAAAGCCACCATTCCTCAGGGCAACATTCAGACCCTGCTCACAGGACTCATGGTCACCCTCAGCGTTAGCTATTTGCCCCAAGAACTCCCATGCCCACACATCCAAACCATGCTTCTCTGCTGACATTCAGACTTTTATTTCTGTGACTTTCTTTTAAAAGCAGCATTTGCTGTACTGGTGGCACCTCCGAACCTGCACACCCCCAACGCATGTACCATTCTGTCTCTTTGTCAACAGTGATACCCCAGCCACCTCATGTACAAGGTAGAAAAGAGAAGGCCTTCCCTCATTTTTTCCTGTCTCCCTCAGCACCACAACACTTTAATCAAGAAGCTCGCCAGCATGGCTTTCTAAGGATTTCTGGAACCAATCTCTTTTCTTGTCACTTGGATCCACTCAGGACATTGTGTCTTGCTTCTCTCTGATCCAGACTCCAGAACAAAACTGAAACAAAGCAAAAAATATCAAACCACTACTCATCTTAAAAATCTCCACCATTTCCTGTTGCCTCCGGGATCAAACCTGAATTCCTAGACATGACTTTCAAAGCCCTTGGTGACAACCTTGTGTCATATCTTGCCCTCCCAAACCCTCACACAGATAGTGCTTCTTAGTCTCTAGAACTCACACGTTACCTCAAAAGCCTGCTCCCTGATTGAACTGGCCTAAGGAGCCCTGTATCTCAGTCTCTATTTGATTATTTTGTTGCTCAACAAACAGAACACGAGATTATCTTAATGTTTCTGTTTATTGTCTGTCTTGTTCTGTTAAAATTAAATTTCATCCAATGTGTATTATACTGAGTCTATCTCCAGACTCTAGAGCAGTCCCTGGCATAGTGCATGCCCTCACAGCATGTTTATGGATGTGCTGAAGCCCCGTTTATGCTGTGGGTATTTCCGTGAATATATTATGTTCTTTCTCCTTAAGGCCTTTGTATGTGTTGTTTCACCTGCGAGTGCATGCATGTGTGTGCGTGTACACACACACACACACACACACACACACACTTTTCTAACCACTATGTAGGTTAAATATAATTTTCCCCAGAATTCTTCCCCATGCTAATCTATGTTAAGTGCCTGTGACACATTATCTTCTCTACTTCCTATCAAATATTCAACACTATTGGAATTATTGAACAAATAACTAACTTCCACAGGAGACTCCAGAAGCCAAATTTCTTTGGTTCATTTTTATATTCCCAGAGCCAAATATAGCCCCTGGCACATAATAGGAGCTAATGATTGGTGGAAGAAAGAAAAAAGTGGAGGGAGGGGCCCAGTGAGTCTATACTTGTAAGGAATTTATTTTTAGATTGGATTCCAATAAGCACATCCCCTGAGAGAAAGGATAAACGCCTGCTGTGGCTGGATCATGGAGACAACCCAGTGAGGCTGATTGCACAGAGCTGTGGCACCAAGCAGACAGGCAGAGAGGCTATTCCTAGGGTAGAAAG